TAAAGTTAAACTAAAGTCAAGTGTCAATGTCTTGTTTGTCTTCTGTTCAACTCCTAAAGGCCAAAATGAAAGCACCTCTGCTGGTCTTTATTTAGACATGCACAAACAGCACTTCTGTTCCTTGAAATCATGTGACATACAAGAAAGCAAAGGTATCTGTGACTCTGGAGCACAAAACCAGTAAGTTTTTGAAATTGAGATATACTGTACATAAAAATGCATGCTGAATAAGTTTTTGATAAATGTATAGTTTGTTAGGATGTACAATATTTGGCTGAAATAAAACTATTTAAAAAACAGAAAATTGTAAAACACATCAGATAAAGTCATATTAAATACATTTTAGGGAACAAAATGTACAAATATCTTCATGAGATATGATCTTTAATTAATATGAAAATGATTTGTCATAAAAGGAAAACACTTTTTGTGCTTCTGGATTGCATCAGTTTTCTGTTGTGTTTATACAGTGTGTGCAGAAAAGGTTCTCAACAACAAACAGCACAGTACACACAATGATCAAGACTGCTTTAAAAACAGCTTAGACCTACATAAATTGGATGAAAAACAAACAAACAAAAAACTAGACTTGAAAACTGATGCAGGTTTACAGAACTCTGGAAAATCAAAATAGTCTAACCCTATAAATCAATCAGACTCTTTTCTAGTAAATGAGTATTTTCTATTAGGCTCCTCTGATAAGGTTCAGAAGTTTTTTTTTTTATTTAATGAAAAGTTTATTAGCTGGTAAATAAATTTTATCTTTTTCAAAAAAAATTTTTAACAAGAAAAAAACAGCTAAATCCACGTCTGCTTTTATTGCAAAAAACTCTAAATGGAGGTGGAGGTTGGAGAATCATAAAACACAGGTACACAAACCACCTGAAAATAAAAATACATAAATCTGTCAAGTAAGTGGTGGTTTATTCCGCTGTGGTAAACCAGGGAAAAAGCAGATGTGCATAAATCAATAACATTAAAACTGACATTAATTAAATCTGAGTCTGGCATTTCTGATATTTAGGATTTAGATATAATGTTAGTAGAGTAATACAAACATTGCAAACATTGTAAACTAAGCTTGATTTAAATAATGTAGTGTAAAACATTGTAAAGCATCAATATATGTGCATTGTCCATTAACAAAAACTTATCAGCCGTATAGGTATTATGAAGTAATATAAATAATGTGTGATTTTATTCAATTTAGTTATCTTTTAAATATAGCTTAAAATTGCAAATATAACACAATGTAGGCCTACCGGGCAAAAAAATGGGATGTCTCTCTGACAATTTTAGAGGCTGTCATTCATTAATTATCAATATACTTACGATCTTGGTCTCTTTTTTTATCCTCTTAGCATCCATGTGGGATAAAAAAAAAACAGCATCTTAACTCTGTCTTTTTAGAAACGCAGTGGCCATTTAATGTGTAGTAAAGCGCACTTATTCAAAGTAGCGTCGCTGCTCAAAAACATGTTATGAATGCATGCTACACTTCCGAATGTACATTGTGTTTTGCACAGAGTTTTGAGGTCAGGGACTTTTTCATTTGCCATTCACTGACAGTCCTACAGGCTCATCCAGTTCACTAAAATCCATCTTTTAAAATTGTAAGCAGAAAAAACAGCCTCCTTATAAAGCCGGTGTTTCAGCGCACTGCTACATTGAAAACATATGATTGGATTTGCACCTTCTGATAGGTTCTTGGGATATAGCGGCTTTAGTTCTCAAAGGCAAGTGGTGTTTAGCGGTTTTTGCCAACAAAGTGTTATTTCTGAATGTGCTAAAGCTGCAATTTAAATGATTTGAAGCAAATCTATTGGTTGATGGTGTGGTACGTGCCTAAAGCATTTACTCAATATCAACCTCAATGTCAATTACATTTTTATTTAAGCTAGATTATTATTTTATTTGACAATGCAGTTCGTGTTTTGGCTTAGTTGAAGCATATAGCGCACTTGTGTTGAAGCAATTCACCTCAAATGTTACTCGTTCATCTATTTTATCTAGTAGATAACTAACCAACAAAAAATATAATAAAACTAAGAAACAAACAATATACGAAATTCATTTTAAAATTATATTTTTTTCCCAAGAAAAATATAGGAATTATATTTTAGTTTGAGCCCATCCATTACTCAACTGGGCTGAATGATTTGCTTCGGTTAATTAAGCTTTAATTAATGCTTTACTAATTGTACCACTATCCTCTGTCATATATTTTCAAATGTTTTGTTCTACGTGCCTTCCCGCGTGCTTTAATCTCCTCCCTCGGCTGCATCAGACAACAGACAGACTCAAAGGAAGAAGGTCTCACGAAGCGTTTGTGAGAAATACTAAAGTAAGAACTTTACCAATCAGTATTTGTTGTGAAGTTGCATTGATGAGTCACAAGCAATATCGTTACAAAGTTCACGTGTGCGCACACACACACACACACACACACACATACACACCACAACTGACACTCATACACACACACACACACACACACACACACACACACACACACAGGCAGGCAGACAGACAGACAGACAGAGCGCGCTTAGCTTTGCACTGTTTTTGCACTCAAATGTGACAGGATACAGGCTAATCTCCGCTGCTGTATGAATATCTGTTATGTTATTGTTCAAAATAAACCTGATTTAACTTCCACAAACCGGGATTGAAGTGTCTTCCTTTAAAATATTTCTGACACGCGGCTGTGCTGATGAAGTAAAGCTGAAGTAAATGGCTGTGATTAATTACACACATGCTGTTTTAAAACATTTTAAACATGTGAAACTCACTCTTGATCACATTTGATGATGATTGATGATCTTAGCGAACTGAACAGACCTTTTATTCCCGGTTGCTTTGTGTATGTCTGGTCTTGTTGACATATACATGTGACTACCGGGACATGTTAATACGCAGCTGTCAATCAATATTGGTGGGCGGGGGGACCGCACTCCTACGTAAAGTTGGGATCGGTCTGAAAATGTCACCGTACCTTGTGTTCTCACTCTCTCCAGTTCAATGTTACAGATTACCTTCAGTCACCTGCTTTTCTAGTATTCACAGGTCATCGGAGTGATTCGCTCCACCTGTTTCTCGTCCCTTTGTTCCTATTTATAGCACGTCATTTCCCTTCATGTTTGTCAGTCTGTTGTCGTTGGTGTGTGTGTATAACGGTCTGTTACTCACCCCATATTTGTGTCCAGGGCTGCCAGTGAACGAGTCTCCCGTTTGTTTCTGGACTGTTTTCCACCGCACTCCCCCGGCAAACACCCGATTGGGTTTTTTGTTCCTTTGCAAAGACTTTCTCCTTAATAAACACTTTGTGTTCTGCACTTGAGTTCACTCCTTCTTCTACCCGTGACAGAAAACCGCTCCAATTGGTCCACCGTTTATATGTTGTTAAAAAGAGAGAAAAGGACTGGGTGTGTTTATATCAGACCAATATGATGGTCTATACACTATATATACACATATGTTTGTCCAAATAGCTTGAAAAGTAGAATTTTCATTATAGGTGCCCTTTAAAGTTATCACTTTTTGACCTAAATTTGACCAGATGTTTGCCCTTCCTCTGGCGTTTTTCAGTTTTAAGTTCGCCATTGGCAATTTTTGTCTTTATGTTCTCTATTGTATGTAGCTGGAAATCTCTAAGCATAAGACAACACTGGCGATTCCGCCACGCATTAGATCTCATTAAACTTTTTCTTGGGAAGTTTTCTAATGCGGGCCAGAAGCCCGATGTGCATGCTTTGACGTAAAAATTGGCCTGAAGCTCAGCCCTAGGGCCAAAAAATGTCAGACCCTGTCGGACTCAAGAGTAGGGCTCTGCTCTACAGATGTAAAGGTGCAGCAGCTGATATTGACAGCTAGTGGACACTGTAATTGAAGAGCTCAGAGACAGGAGTAAATGTCAGTAAGTTTATTGGAGCAAGCAATAATATGGCAATTTGTGAGTATTTCAGTAATAGTATTTGATTACAGACTGATTGATAAAATGATTAACAGAGCCTCTTATGTGAGTTCACACTGCATTTTAGCCCTAATTTTCAATTAAAGACAGGTTTGGAGAAATGGCAAGGCAAATCAGTGATCATTCACACAGTGTGAATGATCAAAAACGTGATTAGAGAGAGTCTTAGATATGTTGCTTCTAAATATTTGACATGCTAAATATCTAAACTAATATGATGCTATGATCAATGATTTCTGACTGAATAAGACATAAGCAAAGACCAGCAGCCAATGAGAGAGCAGGATTCAGGTCAGTGGAGAGTTTGTGGAGGAGCTTTAGACCACAATATCAGAATCAAAAAGATTTACAGTAACGTTAAACTGAAACAACAGAGACTTTTGCTTGACCAGGCTCAGCAGGAGCACATTGCAAACTCATGTATCACCCTCCAACTCTTTTTATATATTTTACTGCAAATTGGCTTAAAGATCATTGCATGGCAAATTATTAAAAAATGTTTCTAGCAGAGAACACAGCAGCAACAGAACTTTACCTCATTATTTTGAGCCCTGTGAAAACAACTGTGAACCGACAACTTAAGTTAAGTAGCAAATAAGTGCATTGCAGGTAGATGAAGAGATCATACACAAGTGACAGAGTGGAGTGAGCACACACATTATATCAATGGTGGACAGTTGAGAAATAACCAAGAGTTAGGATAATAGTATTTTTAATCCATACCATGCAATATATATGTTCAGAAAGAGAAGCCTATTGTTTGCATCATGTTACTCTTGATGTGAGAAGATCATTTTTAGTTAAGCATTTTTTTTTTCTTTATACAGTGTTGCAGACATGCAGACAATTTTCTGTTTTCACTGGGAGCCAGAGGTCTGAAATATATAGAAAAAACAACGACAAAAGTAAAAACACAAAACATTTCTGTACAAGAAGATCAGTTAATACATTACAACACAAAATAACCATGATTTTAGACCAAAATTAAGTATATTTAGTGTTAAAAAGGTTTTCCATTTACCTGAAATTACCCTTTTATTTGGAGTATTTTGTTTTAGAAATCAACCCATAAATCCAATGGAAAAGGTCTTCAGCAGAACCAACAATTGATCCAGCAGCCCCTCCAATAACAGGAACATAGTAACTCCAGTCACTAGCTCGCTTTGATCTGTAGGGTATACTGTCAATTCTTTTACGGTATTCCCGCTCTGCTTGCTTTCTAGTTTCACGTTTTATTTCCTCCTTAAGTTTTTGCTTTTCTTTGTCATGTTGTTCTTCCAGGCATTTTATGAGGTTCTTCTGTTGTTCTTCCAGAGCCTTCTCCATCCTCTTCATCTTTTCTTCAAAGTGTTTCTGCTGTTCTTCTTGTTTTTTCTGCAGCTTTTTTTGTAGTCTTTCATCTTTTTCTTTCTTAATCTCCTCCTCTTCCTTTTCAAACTCCTCTTTGCGTTTTCTCAGTTCATCTTGCATCTCTTGTCTTTTTCTCTCAGTTTCCTTCTTCATTTGCTCTTTTTCTGCTTCATATTTGTCTCTTATGTCTTCTTTTTTTCTATTGATTTCATCTTCATTCTCCATCAGGATTCTCTTTTGTTCTTCTCTGATGTTTTTCTCCACCAGTTGAAACATCTCATTGGTGTAGAAACTTCCTCCATTTTCTGCCACCATGCGGTCAATCTTCTCCAGCAGTTCAGAGACCTGTGTCTTATCATTAGTCTCATCATTATTGAACACATGGTATCTGTTTCCACACTGATGGAGGAGGTTCTCTAAGCTTCTGTTTCCTTCAATAAAATCTTCAATGCTGGTTCCTTTCAGATCGACTCCTCTGGTGAAGAGCACCATGGTGTACATGCTGGATTGATCACCAAACCTCTCCTGGATGATCTTCACTGCATCTTTCTCCTCTTTGGTGAACCGTCCCAGTGAAATCACCAGCAGAAACACATGTGGTCCTGGTGCTGCCATCGAGACACACTTCACAACCTCTTTCATGGTCTCATGATTATCAACTCCAGTGTCGAACAGGCCTGGAGTGTCGATCACGGTTATGCATCTTCTGCTGAACTCAGCTGTCTCTTTCTGACACTCTTTGGTCACTGATTGTGAATTCAGAACTGATTTAAAAGCTTCTCTTCTCAGTATGGTGTTTGCTGAGGCACTCTTCCCAACACCTGTCTTTCCCATCACCACAATCCTCAGATCATCAGCATCATCATCTGCAAACAGCAGGAGGAAATTTTCTTTTAGAACCATTTTTGGTAATACTAGACTTGCACTGTATTAGGAAGCATCCCTACCCCCTTGAAAGCCAAGTTATTTAAATCTATTTTCTTTATATATCGCAGGTTCACAGCAGAAAACCTTTGACCCCCTGGAGTCTGCAAATGCATAGATGCGTTTAATCACATAATTCATAACAGGAGCTTAAAATACTGTGTGTTTTGTGATCATATTGATAAGACAAACAGATTTGAAAACTGTAAAGCCGGGGTCTCCAATTGGTAGGGGGAGTGGCAGTGACAATCTCACAAGAGGGCCATTTTAACATTCAAACACAAGAGTGCTCACCTGATGTAATTGATGCTTCTTAGGACAACAGACATGATGTTTATAAATGTAATGTAACAGCGTTTTCAAGCATTACCTGTCACCAGCGATAATGCAAATAATACAGGTCCTGAAATGCATGTGTATATAGTGTGTAAGACTTCAGAATATGAAGGAGTAATCCTTTAATAATAATAATGAAGTAGTTATAATGCTTTGTTTCTAGCCAGGTGTTTACAGCAACTGTATATTTCTGATTATTCGCATCCCATCCTTTTGTGCCCCTTGGCAGCATTGACACAAACTGCTGTTACACCTAAAATATTTTATTAATTCCTTTGTCCCACGGCGGGGTCAAACGCAAAGGTAGTGGTAATTTTTAACTGTCACTCACCATACTACATGTTTAATTAACTTGTCCCGTGCTTCATTTTTAAATAAGAGTAAGTGTGATATGAGCTCAAATGTTACCTCATAAACTGAGTACAAGATGTGAAGTATAAAACTGACCTAGCCACTGCAGTGATTGTAACAGGACTTGTGAAAGAGCATAATGTAAGTCAAGGTAGAATAAATATTTTAAAAACAAACCAGCTCTAGTAGGCAAGGGTGGACGCACATAGGCAGTTCCTCATTAATACTTTTGTGTATTGCTAAAGCTAAAATTAACATTATAGAGTGATTTGAATCAGTGTTTCTCAACCACGTTCCGGGAAGACCATCAGCTCTGCATATTTTCCATCTCTCCTCAAAGAAACTGAAAGACCTGTAAAGGGTTTGACAGATAAATGAGACTTCTAAAACATCCAGTGTTGGTGGTCTTTCAGGAACGTAGTTTAGAAACACTGGTTTAATTGACAAAACACATGCTTTTGACGTCATAAAAGTGAAGCCACTGTGTCGCTATATTCATTATTCCCACAAATTTTTCTCACTATATTGGTCTCTCCTAGAAAGATTGACTGGTTCTGTGCTAAAGTATACACAACAATATCTTTCTAGCCCTTTATATTGGTATTGGCAAAATATCGGTCAATATATAGGTCAGGTCCTAGTGTTAATTTTTTGTTTATTATTATTGTAAGATACTTGAATGACAGGAGGCAGAATTGTTCGTCGATTCTTTACTGAGTACAGAACATACATCTATGGCCAGCACCTCCAGTCAACTGAACTTCTCCTTTTCCAACTGGGTTTCCTTCACATGCCCCTCCCCGACTTTGCTCTCTTAAAGGGTCACGAAACACCAAAACACATGTGTTGAGCTGTTGACAGTGGTATATGTGTCCCACACTGCTAAAAACACTATTAGGACACCTATATTTCACTAAAAAGTGTAAATTGGTTGTTTTTGCGTTATTTCAAGCAAATTCATACTTCCGGTTTGAAACGAATTTTTGAAGCTGCGTCACGACCATGACATAATAGCGTGTATTCCAGCGTGCAGACTGGACGTCTGTGCCAGAGTGAGTCTTATTACATCTTACAGTGTGCTGCATTAATGCATGAGTAAAGCTTGGTTCAAACCAATCAGCGCGCTCTATTGTGCAACTTCATTAATATTCATGGTAACACTTTACAATAACAGTACATGAATAATGATGTATTAATATGTAAACTAAACATTACTTTATTATGAATTAATGATGAGTTAAGGTATGCACTAATTATGAATTAACTTTAAGTACAACATGAGTCACATGAGTTCATGTGTGAATAACGGCTACCTTAATTACTTGTTAGTACATGCTGTTAATTAATGTATTATTTTAACATTTAAGTTTAGGCTAAATGTAACCAACATGAACTCATGAGCTGTTAATGTATAGTGCTGTCATGACTTTACTTGGAGGGGCACATTACTGTTAACTCATCCTTAACTACTTAAGGAATTACTTGTAAAGAATAAACTACCTAACGGATTTCGCCTATCGTGGGTCATTTTAGAACGTAACTCCAGGGATAATCCTGTATGCATATAATAGCAATAGCCTAGGTAGAAGTAGACTTACAGTCCTCTTTGTCCAGTTGTGTCTCATGACCATTATGAGTGATAACTTCATCCACTTTCCGAAATATATCAGAGCGCAGTGTGTTTAATAGCTGAAGGCGTCCTCCTCCACACTCTGCAGATAACTGCTGAATACGTTTATTTTCTTTCACAGACTGCTGTGTACTGCTGTCTTTCTCGTCGTCAGTGGTCAGAATCATTGTCCGATTCTTTGCCTGCTCACCAAAGTAGATCAGCACTGAAGGTAGTCGATCCTTATGAAATTGCCTGAATTCATTGTGCTGCAGCACCAGAATGATCACGTCAGGATTGAAACGAGACAGCTCAAATGCTTTCTGTGTTGCTGCTTCTAGTTTGAGTTTTGTTTTGAGCAGGTCAGTGCTGATGACTGTGATGTTTCTGTCCCCAACTCTTCCACTGTGTTCTTCATCAGTTGAGGGGGTTTTCTTTCCAAACACACCTTTACCCAAGATTAGGTTTCCCACTCTGCTGTTTTCTGACATACTCGTGCCCAGCAGGGCAATCCTCAGATCACTCACTGAAACACATTAAAAACAAACACAGTGTCACCGACTCGGTCCCAGTTACTCCCCTCGCTGGCCAGCAGAGGCCACCATCTCCGGACTTCTAAGCATTACATCATCCACTTACACTGATCCAGCACACCTGAACTGAATCCCGCTAATGACCCAAGTACCCTTTATAAGCCGCACTCAAACACTCAGTCTTTGCGAAGTCTTGTTCAGCCCCGGCCAGCATTACTGAGCGTTATATCCTGCCTGATTTCCTGTGTATTACTCCAGCCCGTTTCTGACTCTGCTCTGTCTTCTGCCTGCCCACGACCTAAGCCTGTTACACGGACTCTGATGCTCGCTGCCTGCCCTCGACCCAAGCCTGAAACACGGACTCTGAATCACGCCGCCTGCCTCTGACCCATGCCTGGTAAATCATTCTGTGTCTGTCAGCCGCCAGCCCTAAGACCCTTATTGCTATTATTGTTGTATGTTCGCACCTTGGTTGTTTGAGTGAAAGTGTTACTAATGAATACTGCATAATGGATCCCTCCATGTCAGTCTCCCCGTTACACACAGCATGTTGTAAAACAGAGTTGAAATCTGTGTACAAAATGGTATATATTACTGAATCAATGTATTTTGAAAGCAAATACCCATTAACATACCCAGGAGGAAAATGAGACTAAGGACAAGGCATGTATTAAAAAGTTGTTATACATTTGTCATTTCTGGATTGAATTGAAGATGTTAACTGTAGAAGAGTTTTGCATCAGTAATGAATATTCTACTTCTATGCTGTACCACTACCAGAGCCGGATTAACGTAATGGTCAGATGGGGCTGAAGCCCACAGGGCCCACAAAAAGAAGCCCAGAGGGCCCACAAAATTTGCATTGTGCTGTCGCATGCTGATAATGTTAAGTATTACTTTCAGTTCGCTGAACGGGGCACTTGGATTTTTTGTATATTCTTAATCCAGCCCTGACTACTACCACTACATAGACTTGTAACATTTCTATTAACATGGACATTCTGTACTTTTTGCCCTGTCGTCTTCCATTCATATGCAAATGCATCAGACTGTTAATGCAAGCACATGTGACAGACTTTGCATGTTCCAGTATTGCAAAATTCCAGCTTGGTGAACTCAGACCTGTGAATTTGTTTCATATGAATGTGTGAGAGCATAAGAAGATCAAAATGTGCCTTCATATGTAAATAAATTTGAATTATTGAGCAATCGCTCATTTTATCAGTGTTACATCATCTTAATTTATTCCGCCTCTTCTCACTCTAGCTAGACCATGGCTTTGTGCTATAAATTTACAATTCAAAAATCCCCATCCTTGCTGATTTTTATTTTCTTTGTTTGTTATTCTGTGCAAACTTTTAGGTGCGACAGGTGTACTACTACTTGAGCTGGAAGTATGATGTCACACAAAATTCACCTAAATGTGAAGGTTTTAACTTTAGATATTTTTTTTTTTTATCTCTCAATTCTTTAGTCTTTCACGTTTCCTATTATGTGCCCAACATATTAAGAATAAAATGTAAAATGAATATAAAAGATAAAATTGTTAAACAGCAATCATTAATGACGTATTGATGCAATGAATCAGAAGCAGTTGGAACTATTAGCAGTTTTATTAAGGTAACTAGGATCAATATAGCGATGTAGTGGATAAACAGGTGTGGGTCGGGGCAAGCAGCTAATGGGGTCAGTTCAAAACAGTTCACAAAACAGTCCAGGATTAAAATGAAGCATGGCAAACAACAATGAAAAACACTGACGGCAGGAACAAATCAAGATTTCACCAGAAGCAAGAGTTCGAGGTGGATATATATAGTGAAATGCAAAAAGAGAAAGTTAAAGAAAAGCATTTGGAATCTTGAAATGTAAATGTGTTTATAAATGTTGCTAGCCTCGATCATATTAATGCAAAGAGAAACTGTATTCATTACACAGCAAATAGTGAGATCTGCTGTTTTTCTTGAACTATTCAATTCTAAAACAAATAAATAAACATGCAATCATTACATTACGAGACAACTATGAAATTACTTAAATGGAAAAGCCTTTTTTTTTAATTATAGGTAAAAATATATAATAATAAACTCACTTTCTTTAGGTGTGTGTTCGCTTCCTCTTAATTATGCCACTTCCTCCTAAGTGAAGTTTAT